CTTCCATGAATCTCGTACCGAATGCTCCTTTGTGGCCGAGAGTTATATATATATATATATATATATATATATATATATATATATATATATATATATATATATATATATATATATATATATATATATATATATATATATATATATATATATATATATATATATATATATATATATATATATATATATATATATATATATATATATGAAAAAGGTTATAGTTGTTCCAAAAAGGAGAGAAACCGCAAACGTTTTCGGATTTAATGTGGATTTGTTTTGGTGTATATATTATATTTTATTCTTTACATTTCTGCTACTCGTGTTTCCGGTCTCGTGACCTTCTTCAGGCAAATAAAAGGAATAAATTTTTAAAAGGAATAAATTTTCCTTATGTTCTTTTAATGTCTCATTGTTCGTCTTCTGTATTTGTTAGTGAGCCTTGAACTCCTTTCTGGACGGTTGGCAAAAGGGAATTTCTGCCTAAGTGCTAATAAAACTATTAGGTTTGGTATGACAGCTGGTGGTGAGAGATCTGTTGAGACATATATATATATATATATATATATATATATATATATCAGTAGATAGTTTCGCTTATTTTCCAGTTTGCACTTCTCCTTTTTTTTTTTTTTTAACAGGAGTTAAAAAAGGTAGATATTTATCCTTTGTTTGCTGTCTAAGACCGAGTTTCTGGATCCTTAACATCTCCATCTAAACTCTGCTATTTTATTTAGTATTTAGTCATTTTCCCCTTTAATAGGAGTAGATAGGTTCGCCGATCGCCTGTTCACACTCCTCCCCGGCCTTTTGAACAAGAGTAGAGGTTTATCGCTTGTTTCCTTTTAGGGTTGGGTTTCCGGTTCCTTCTAAGGATTTCTCATCCACTTTCACTACCTGTCGCCTCGCGCGTCTTAGTGACTTTATCACCTTGCTTGGGGTGAATCGATTAAAAGAAAATGGCGTGCCCGTGTATACAAATGCATAATGATCTTAACGAAACTCCTAACTGTGGTAATTACCAAGTGTGGTAAAACAATTCCATTCATGCGCTTGTAAAATCCAAATAGAATAAATATATGCTAAGAGGCTCATTCACTTCTAGCTACCTTCAAAAAGAAATGGGACAAGACACTCTAAATGGAAACCTTCCCAATGCAGAATTCAGAAATTTTTTATTGTCATCTCAGGGTCTTTCTCACTCAGTTCCTTGCTTTTAATTTGTCACTTGGAAACCATTTTACGAGAGGCTCCTTCTGTAAGCGTCCCTGATCGTGTTACACTGCGATGTGCTAAATAAAGAGACGTCTAAGGGCCAAATTGTTATTTACACTGCCAAGCGTAGCGGCTGGAAATATAATAGTGGCCAGCATAAATCTAGGTGACAGTTTCTAACACCAAAAGTCTCCCTATCCCTAGAGCGACACTGCATTCTCTGCACCCTGACAGCCACCCAGCCAGCCAGCCCCAACTCTTTTCTGTCTCTCTGCTTGCCCTTGCACCATGTCCAATTCCTGCGTGTCAATTTCTTTCCCCGCCCTCCTCGACGCCTGACACCAGACTCCCTCCAGTTCGTTCAGGAGTGGCACATGACGGTGCTAATTCTATTACGAAATTCTCCAACAAATGACACCAAGAGAGCAAGGGCGTCTCGGCGTGGGGTAATGGTTAACGAGCTAGTCTGCTTGACCCTTACTACTGAGTAAGGAATTTAATCCTCACTGGGTGCCTGTATTTGTAATCTTCTACCAAAATAAGCTAAGTTTAATAAATCTGTGATCACAGAGGAGAGTAATGGTTAACGAGCTAGTCTGCTTGACTCTTACTATTGAGTAAGGAATTTAATCCTCACTGGGTGCCTGTACTTGTAATCTTCTACCAAAATAAGCTAAGTTTAATAAATCGGTGATCACAGTGGAGCGTAATGGTTAACGAGCTAGTCCGCTTGAGCATTATTACTGAAGAGTGATCTCGAATATAACTGGGAACCCCGTACTTGTGGTTCTGTGCCAGACTAAAATAAGTTTGGTAAATAGGGCGCCTCGCGATGGAGTAATGGTTAACGAGCTAATTCATTTGAGTAGGGAATTTGATTTTCAGTGAGTATCTGTACTTTTGATCTTACACCAAAATAATCTAAGTTTATTATACCGGGTTCCTCGGTTTAGTGTAATGGTTAACAACCTAATTCGCTTGACGATTAATAGTGAGTAGTGAATTTGATCCACACTAAGTGATCTTGTATCAAAGTGATCAAAATGATTTTCGTTGGACTAATACTCCAAACAAAGATCAATTTGAACCCTGATTATGCTTTATTTAGATTTAAAACTCCTGGTCCGAAGAGATGATTCAGGCTTCAAATTGTGTAAAACAACTTTTGACAAGATCAAATAATGAAACTGCTATCAAAATGACGTCACTTTATTTCTCTTCAAAATTACAACTGTTGATTGATAATTAAGGTCTCCATTGAGAGGAAAGAAGTAATGAAACGGGTATCAAAATGAATTCAATGGATAATAATGACAAGGTTATTTTATATATCAGGGCTAGTTCATAAGTAACGTATGTAATCCAATAAAAACTAGTGTGGGGGCCAGATAAAATAAACTAACTTATATAAAAGTGGAGTATATTTATTTCTCTTCAAATTGACGAGGGTTGATTAATAAATAAAGTCTCCAATTCTATAAAACGACTTTCAGACCAGATCGAAAAATGTAACTGGTATCAAAATGAAGTCAGTTTATTTTTCTCCCTGAAAATTACAATCGTATAAAACAAGTTTTAGACCAGATAGAATAATGAAACTGGTATCAAAATGAAGTCCTTTTATTTCCCAAAATTGATAGGAAAAAGTTTCCAATCCTAAAAACAAGTTTCAGATAGAATAATGTAACTGGTATCAAAATGAAGTGAATTTCTCTCCAAAATTACGAAGGTTGATTGATAAGTAAGGTCTTCATTGATAGGGAAGAAGTTTTAGACCAGATCGAATAATGAAACGGGTATCAAAATGAAGTCACTTTATTTCTCTACAAAATTACGAAGGTTGATTGATAAGTAAGGCCTCCATTGACAGAAAAGAAGATTTAGACCAGATCGAATAATGTAACTGGTATTAAAATGAAGTCAATTTATTTCTCTTTAAAGTTACAAGGGTTCATCGATAAGTAAGTTGTTCAATCCTATAAAACAATTATCAGATAAGCCAGGATAATGAAATTGGTATCAAAATGAAGCAAATTTATTTCTCTTCAAAATTAAAAGTATATTTTCAACATAGTCACCATTTAGCGTTTCATATTTCGCCAAATCTTCTCTCCGATGTTTCATTCCATCCTTGAAGAAAGAATCTGAGTTATTTTTTTACCCAACTTTGCGCGGCAACTTCAACATCGGCATCGAATAAAAACTGTTCATTTTTTCAACGCCTCTAAATTTTTTTTAGAAGTCTCTTGGCGCCAAAATCGATGCTACACTAAGCGTGTGCCAAATCTCACCGTTTGCAGCGATTGCTGACTGCGACGTGGCCTTAGTTTTTTGAAACAAAAAAAACAAAACAAAAACAAACGTTCTTTTTTGTCTTGTTCTGCCGATGCGTTGTTTCAGATCTCGCGAGATTTCGTTGTTTTCACACGTCTTTAAATTTTTATTGGCGAACAATCTGATGTCAAAATTTCTATCACTGATTACAACTTCATACGAAATACAGACATATTACTCATCAATGACAAACACTATTACTCGACGTCACACAACGAAAGGACACGAACCACATTTGAACAGAACTTTATATATTATTTCATGAGCGTATAAAAAATGGAGAAAAAAAGAGACATTTGATCTATTTGTACATATTGAAATTTTTTCATGTTTATTTTTTTTAGTTATCCTGTGAATTTGTGATATTGTGGCACAGTGGAACCTCCTGAAGCCCGTTCGTAATCCGAAATGTTCGAAAACCGAAACTATTTTGCAATAGGAATCAATGTAAAATGGATTAATCCGTTCCTGATCCCAAGAGGATTGCTTATTTAAACTTTAACAACAGTACTTTGTGCACAGGTTTATACACAAAACTATTGAAAATCATTAAATCTAAGAAATAAATAAATAAACCCAATATTAAACTAAAATATAGAGGGACATTTTAATGTTACCGTACCTGTAAGTGGGAGGGATGATGGCGTCAGTGGAAGGGGAAGGAAGGAAATGTTATTGTTTGGAAAAGGGGAAGGAAAGACATTATCGTCTCTTTATAGGAATAGTACAGATCGTTGATTTTGCCATATGAGTAGGAAGAGACAATATCATCAACAATTGTTTTTCTCTTAACTTTTCTTTTTCCGTTACCAGTAACACTGCTAGCTTTCTTTGGAGGCCATGACTGAGGACTAATGAAGAGAAAAAAAGGCACAGTAGAATAAAATTGGAAAAGAAAAGCACAGCACAAAACACGGATGTATACAAGATGGCGGTCGACTAAGAAATGATTCCATTCGGGTTAACTCCGTTCGGCTCGGTTCGGCAATGTTGCTCGAGAACCGAAATTTTGTTCGATTATCAAAGCATTTTCATCTCGAATTTTCTGTTCGAAAATCGATTTGTTCGTCATGTGAGACGTTCGAGAACTGAGGTTTCTCTGTATATGTAGTATTGAATGGTGAGGGATGAATGTTTTTTTTTTTTTGTGGTGAATGAGCAAATTGTAATGAATGAATGGGTCGTGAATCAGAATAGCTAAGTCCAGGATAGAAAGTGTCGACCAGCCTTTCTCCATTTCCCCTGTGGCCTTGTGCCACAATTGTTTTAATTAAAACAATACACACACACATAGATAAACACACACACAACACACACACACACACACACACACACACACACACACACATATATATATATATATATATATATATATATATATATATATATATATATATACATATACTAAAAATATATATTCAAACATGATTTTATCCCTACTATTTGTAGCACCAACCTTACGGTCAAATCATACTGTAAACGCCGGTACTTGTTCGATCACCGAAGTTAAGCAGTGTCGAATCAGGTCAGTACTTAGATGGGGGACCGCCTAGGAACGGGTGCAGAACACCTCAACACAGTCATCTGAGCACCGGGACAACTGAGCACGAAGACATCTCAACACCACGACAACATAACTTTTTTTGTAACCGAATAAAAGGAATTTATTAGGGATTAAAATCTTAATTAGTGAATATTTTTATTAAAAATTATTTTATTAAAAAATAAATTTCTCTACGATTTACTTTATCGTAATAATTTAAAAAATATTCACTAATTAAGGTTTTAATCCTTAATAAATTACTTTTATTCAGTTATTAAAAAAAAAGTTTTTCTGGTGCTGAGTTGTCTCGGTTCTGAGTTGTCCTGGCGCTCAGACGGCGGTATTGAGTCGGCGGTGTTGAGTCGGCAGTGTTGAGTTGTACCACCCCGCCTGGGAACGGCTTCTACTGTAAGCAACCCCAAACCCCAGAAATATTTGGGCACTTATCTCCCCCTTTTGGCCTTGTGCCACATTTTTGTATTATTCAAAATATTTACTTTCCTCTATGGTACATATACTTTATAAATTCAAGCGCAGTACTAGATTGGTTGTTAGGTCTCATCATTTTACAGTTGAAATCGCTAAATGTAACTGCAAGTTCTATTCTAATAGTTTCTTCTCTTGCACTTCTCACTTGTGGAACTCTCTTCCGGCTTCTTGTTTCCCAACCAACTTTGATCTTCATACATTTAAATGCAATGCCAATCGTTATTCTTCTGTCTTTTTGTTCTTTTATTGTTCTTTTTCTCCTTAATTATCTTTTTTTTTTCTTATTCTGTCACAGTCAGTAGCCCTGCTGCGTTTTAGTGGCTTTATTGCCTTGCTTGGAGTGACATGATAAAAACAGATTAAAATATAAGTTAAATAAAAACAAATGGTGTGTCGTATTATGCGTGAGTATATTTAAAACCATTTTTAAAAATAAGAGTAGTGAACGCTGGCCGTAATAAAATAGACAGATACAATTTATAGGGTTTGAATACCAAACAAGGGGTGCGTATTATGCATGAGTAGAAGCATTCTTCCACACTTTCAGCACAATTTTAGGGGTGCATATTATGGATGAAGGCGTATTATACATGGGGAATTACGCAACCTTTCCTTTTTCATTGAAAAAGATAAGGGCTATATAATGTTTTGAGTTAAATTCTGGAAGGGATTGATATAAGATTAAGAAAGAGCAGAATCTAGTCCTTAGGAATGGGTAATATATATTGGGACAGCTATTATTACAAGCACGATGCGGTGTAATGGATAGCGGCTCGGAATGACGAATCGGAGAGCCGAGTTCGAATTCTAGTCGAATCCATTACATTACGCGCTAATACTCTTCTTTTTCCCCCTAGCTATGGGTAAATAACCTTTGGTGGCAGCTAGTCTAGGAGTAGGACAGCTCTGAATTCAAAACCTGATCCTGGCTAACAACCTACTCATTTAAAAACTGGCTTGTTATAGAAACCGCAATGATATCTCGCGGCCCGATGTTCTTCGAGGAATGAAAAAAGGCATGTTAGAATACAATTAAAAGGTTTATTCTAAGATCGAGCATTATTTTCCGAACAACTTTATAAAAAAGGAACATATAACACACGAGTAGAATGATTTCTAGATTGTTTAATAATTTGTTTTAACAATTAAGACAAGTACAGACCTGATTCTTACAAAAGCAAAAAGGAACAGAATATGTCGGCCTATTTCGTTATCTTTATTTTTTTTATCAGAGTCTAATATGAAAGAAGCGGACATTTTTTTTTATCATCTCGATCTTGGACTCATGACTAAAGACGAATCCAGCTCTTCTCCCCTCAGCTATGGGTTAACTAGTAAGAATTGTATCACTAAATCATTATTATCCTCACCCGTCAAAAAAAGAAAAAAGAAATCTCTTAAAATCTAAAAATATTTTATGGCTTTAAATAACCGGTTGATAAGTCGTAAAAAAAATCAATCTAGCATCACTTTATTTAATAGTATCAGTAAGTAACGATTATCTTTAAAAAAATTCTTACAATCTAAAAAAAAAATTCATGGCTTTAAATAACCTGCAAAGGATTGATAAACCGTAAAAAAAGAATCAATCTAACATCACTTAGCACTTGATTAATATTACTTAAGAGTCTCAGGAAATCATTATTATATTAAAACAATTCTCATAACCTAAACTTTTTTCTGGCTTTAAATAACCTGTAAAGGGTTGATAAACCGTAAAAAGCCCAAATCAATCAATCTAGCATTGCTTGGTACTTGATTGTTATTACTTAATAGTATGAGTACATTATTATCTTCAAAAAGATCTTATAATCTAAACTTTTTCTGGCTTTAAATAACCTGTTAAGGGTTGATAAACCGTAAAAAGCCCAAATCAATCAATCTAGCATTGCTTGGTACTTTATTTCTATTACTTTATAGTATGAGTAAGTTATTATCTTTAAAAAAATCTTATAATCTTAACTTTTTCTGGCTTTAAATAACCTGTTATGGGTTGATAAACCATAGAAAACAAATCAATCAGCAAAACAAATCAACCAGAACTGAAGAAGAATAAATGTAAAAAAATAAAAAAGAAAAAAGAAAAGATAAACGACCTTGAATACAAATCTAAAATAAAAAGAATGCTTAACTCTCTTTAAAAAAATATCTTTTAACGTCTGTTCCATTCAGTCGGCGTTTTTTAGGGCGCCTTTCTTCTACGTAAAATGGCCGTCGCTTTGTATCTAAAAAGAAAATGTATTACTAACAACACGAGTTTAATAATGCTCTTAGCAAATGCCTGCCCAACATAAAGCTATAAGCACGTTCTCCATTGCCCCAGCTTCTACAAAAGGCGACATTAATATAAGAACACAGTGACATGTATACTGCCTAGTGTAGGGTTTCGGGTGTAATGATTCAATGTTGAGTTCTTTATATTTCTGTTTGCCGTTGTTGTTGCTCTTGAAAAAGTTTATTCAGGGGTACCTAAAGATTGAGAATAAATACTAGAGGAAGATACCAATTCTTCTTGTATTTCTATAATGAAGAACATATCGAGCAGGGCCAGGTGTTCAACTCTAACATAAACGCAAGTACACCGTTTTCTACCCGCCCAAACCTGTGCTCACCGAAGACTTACCAAAAAAAAAAGTATACTTGGGGTGAAATGAGTTAAAAAAAAAAAGAAAAAGTAAAAGTACACATGATTGGGTATGAACGGTAATTCAATAGGAACTGTGCCAACAACTGACTCTGCAAACTGACAGTATTTCCATGGTTATGAACCCAATAATAATGCGAAGGAGGCACGGTGGAATAATGGATAGCTGTCCGGATGGAGGAATCGGAAAGCCGAGTTCGAATTCCCGTCGTATGCATTACATTCACTTACTTACATACATACGAATCCTCTTCTCCCCCCTCCATCTAGCTATGGACATATAGCAGGACAAACCGGGTTCTATAGCCTTGGATGGCAACTAGTCTACCGCAGAAAGAAATGGCAACCTACTACGGGACAAAAAACCTGCCATGTCAGTCATATATCGAAAGATACATGATCGCCTAAGCGTGTATCACGTATGGCACATAACTGACTGACTGACTTTCCAGTCGAATCGATTACATTTACTTACGTGCTAATACCCTTGGGAAAGGTATGAATCCTCTTTTTCCCCCAGCTATGGGTAAATAGCAGGACAGACCGGGTTCTTTAGCCTTGGATAGAAACTGGTCTACCGCAGAAAGAAATGGCAACCCACTGCAGGAAAAAAATCTGCCTCGTCAGTCAAGTATTGAATGCGTAGCATGTAAATGACTGAATCATACGTTTTCTCGTTATCTTTCACTTTCAGTAATTGGCTTACGACCATACCACGTTGAAATAGCGGTTCCCGTGCGATCACCAAAGTTAAGCAACGAGTTCCTAGATGGGTGACCGCTTGGGGTTAACAGGTACGGATGGTGAAATGGATAACGACTCGGAACGAGAAATCGTAGAGCCGAGTTCGAATTCCAGGTCACCGAAGTTAAACAATATCGAACCTGGTCACTACCTACATGGGTGACCCCTTTTAGATAGCGAGTGCTACAAGCTGGGATCTGCAGGTGGTGTAATGGATAACGGTTCAGAATTGTAAATCGGAGAGCCGAGTTCCAATTCCAGTCGGGTTCGTTATATTCACTAAAGCGCAAATATTCTTGGGAAAGGCATGAATCCACACATTCTCCCCATCTCCAACAAATATTGATTGAATGTCAGGATAGACTGCCCCCCCCCACTCCATTTATTGGTTAATTAGTAAGCCTTGTATCAGTAAACCATTCATTACTAAAAAATTCTTTGGCTTTAAATAACCAATAATAGGTTGATATGCCTTAAAAAAAGAAACAAAACAAACCAATCAATAAAAAAATCATTCCCGCGTCTTAGTGGCTTTCTTGCCTTGTTTGAGGTGGAATTATTTTTTTTTAAAAAAAGAGTAAAATAGATTGATCATTATTTCGTTAAAATCTCAGATCCAAGTTTAGCTAATAATTGTGATAGGCTACTGACTTATTGATCTACTCTCGTGTTTATGAAAAATGTGTTTTTTTTTTTAACATTGCTAATGATTGACGTTTCAATGTATTCATGTAGAGTGCAGGCGCGTGTGAAATGCGTCAGGTTTAGCGTTTCTTTTCACTTGATACTCTTTGCAACTTAATTCTTTTTGGTATTGGTTTCATAGACGGTGCTGTAGAGACAAGACGAAGCGTTTTTATATTTTTATTTTATTTTATTTTATTTATTTTATTATTATTTATTTTATTTTATTATTTTTTTTTTTTTCATGTCGCGAAGCGTCTTGGAAAAAGAAGCAAACAAAATACACACACACTCACGCGCACACAATGGGCGATGGTACCCCAGAGTATGGTCGGCAGACAACAGACAAGAAATATCAGCAGGAAGACACGAATGTCGCTGGGTGGCCAGTTCAGTGTGACACATTAGGAAGTGAAGAGAGAATTGAAGAGGGAGTGGCAGACAAAAGAAGAGGGTAGGAATAACGCGAAGAGATGGTGAACAAGATGGGAGCATAAAATAAAGATGGACGAATAATGAATGTAAAGTAGAGAGACGCTAGATGAGAGATAAAAAGCTTTGTCTAAAATAACAAGAAAACGCATTTATAACTTCATTCTTACAAGGCTTACCAGTGAAAAAGTCACGGCTTTACTGTTACCGAAACTGTTTTCTTTTAATCGACTCTCTGCCTTCCATCAGCATGGCTGATGCTAACCTCCATAAAGATTGACTCGTTACGTCTTCTCGATGTAACGCTTTCCGCTGAGATGAAGTAGGAAAGAACATACCGAATCAAATGCTAGGTCTGCTTGCCAGGAAAGATGGTTGAATGTCGTGCGAGACAATTTTTCACACCAGAATCTATCTTACACATTTATAAATCTACCATTCGTTCATGCCTTGATTATTTCTGCCACAGCAGGTCTGGTGCTTCTGTTATATATTTTAGAGATTCTTGATAAAGTCCAAAGAAGAATTTGCAATGTAATCTGACCTAGCAGATCGGCTTAAGTCACTTTCCCACCTGGCTTCCATCTAGGTTTCCTGTGCCCTTTTCTATAAATATTTTCATGGTAATTATCCTGATGAACTTTCTTCTTTGGTATCTCGACTTTACGAATCTTCGCGTAGTACTAGATTGGCAGATAGTTCTCATCATTTTACAGTTCCAGTGGCTATATGTAATCATAAGTTCTATGCTAAAAGTTTCATCTCTCACATTTCTCGCTTGTGGGGAGTCTCTTCCGACCTCATACCTACCAGTCAAATTTGATATTTAAATGCAATGTCAATCGTTATCTTCTGTCTTCTTAATTCCTCTTCTTTTATTGTTCTCTCTTCTTAATAAAGACGTTTTTTGTCTTTTATTATTTAGCACTCAGTAACCCCTTGCGTCTTATGGCTTTATTGCTTTGATTGGAGTAAAATAATTAAAAAAGTCGTTACAAGTTCCATGACAACAAAATACACGTGTTATAACTCTATTTTATATTTAAATATTCGAGCTTAACAAATTTAACAACATATTCAGTCAGTTATGTGCCATACATGATACACGCTTAGGCGATCATGTATCTTTCGATACATAGCTGACGAGGCAGATTTTTTCCCCGCAGTAGGTTGCCATTTCTTTCTGCGGTAGACCAGTTGCCATCCAAGGGTATAGAACCCAGTCTGGCCTGCTATTTACCCATAGCTGGGGGAGAAGAAGAGGATTCATGCCTTTCCCAAGGGTATTAGCCCATAAGTGAATGTAATGGATTCGACTGGAAAGTCAGTCAGTCAGTTATGAGCCATGCGTGATACACGCTTAGGCGATCATGTATCTTTCGATACAAGACTGACGAGGCAGATTTTTTCCCGCAGTAGGTTGCCATTTCTTTCTGCAGTAGACCAGTTGCCATCCGGTGTGTCCTGCTATTTACCTATAGCAGGGGGTGGGGAGAAAAGATGATTCATACCTTTCCCAAGGTTATTAGCCCGTAAGTGAATGTAATGGATTCGACTGGAATTTGAACTCGGTTCTCCAATTCCTGAAGTCGCTATCCACGGTGCCTTTGCAATATTTAAAAGGAACGAGATTTCTTTTCATTTCGCTAAAAGAGATGTTAAGCAGATGAAAACGTGATCGCCACCTTTTTCTTTCTTTTTCTCTCTGAAATCAAACAGCGTCTCCGTTATGTCTTTTCCACCTTTCCTCGCGATGAAAACGGAATGATCCATTATTTATGGGGTACAATTTATGAGCTAACTAACACACTAAGGAACACGCACAGTTATAATATGACATATTCCCCTTTTTCCCCTGGGATTCAATTCTAATTGACCTTGTCCTACACGACTGAGAAAATACAAATAGGTGTTGAAAAGTTCTCGGCCAGAGAAAAGCTGACCACATGAGCAAATAGCCGAATTATTTTTGGAGTCTTTTCTTGGTTAGGACCGAGGATTTTTCAGCGCTCACTCATATTTTATTTGCTTTATTTACTTTTCTGACGTACGGTGGCCGTTATTGATTAAATATAACTCAACTCTTCAATGCTAAGATAAAAGAGTATTTCATTACAACCGCAAATAGGTACTTAACAAGAACAAATAAGTAAAAGTCAACCAAACATAATTAATATCTTGTTAGTAGCACAGCTCAGCTTAACGTCCGGTACATCTTAAATCAAAACCAAATCATCGACTCATAATAATTCACACTAATTCGACTGGATAGTTCCGCTCAATAGTCACTCAATAATCACTACAGTCAGTAGCCTGACACCGCTATTTATACACCCAACAGAAAATTATATATTCAGAAGTCCAGAGTGTCACGCTCGAACCTCGGTGTCTGTAGTTACTCATTTTATTCCTATATGACAATATATAATAAAAGCGTATAAATAATTTACACTAATTCGACTGGATAGTTCCACTCAGTAGTCGCTCAATAATCACTGCAGTCAGTAGCCTGACACCGCTATTTATACACTCGGCAGAAAATTATATATTCAGAAGTCCAGAGTGTCACGCTCGAACCTCGGTGTCTGTAGTTACTCATTTTATTCCTATATGACAATATATAATAAAAGGGTATAAATAATTTACACTAATTCGACTGGATAGTTCCACTCAGTAGTCACTCAATAATCACTGCAGTCAGTAGCCTGACACCGCTATTTATACACCCGGCAGAAAATTATATATTCATAAGTCCAGAGTGTCACGCTCGAACCTCGGTGTCGGTAGTTACTCTTTTCCTCCTATATGACATTTACTCTCTACAGTAGGATAACATGGACAGAGCACGAGAGGAACAAAAATTTCTTAAGGAAAATGGAAACAAAAATGACTTTTATACATACTCAGAATAGAACCAGAAAAAGACAGTTGACATTTATTGGTCACATAATGAAGAAAGAAGGCTTGGAGAATTTGACACTGACAGCGTATATCGAAAGCAAAATGAACAGTGGAGAGGCAAAGGGGCCATCTATCTGACGAGCTTGTGTGAAAGGAAGGAGAGCTTGACAAAGGGAGAAAGGTTGCTAAGAGCTACGAAGGAGAGGAAATTGTGTAGAGCCATAGTTTACCACGTCCTGAATGGGTCAGGATACATAGAAGAAGAAGAAGAAGATGAGAAAGAAGAAGAAGAAGAAGAAAAAGAAGAAGAAAAAGAAGAAGAAGATGAAGAAGAACTAGAGGAGGAGGAAGAAGAAGAGGTAGAAGAATAAGAAGAAGAAGAGAAGGAAGAAGAAGAAGAAGAAGAAGAAGAAGAAGAAGATGAAGAGGTTGAAGAACTAGAGGAGAAGAAAGAGGTAGAAGAATAAGAGGAAGAAGAGAAGGAGGAAGAAGAAGAAGAGGAAGAAGAAAAAGAAAAAGAAGAAGAAGAACTAGAGGAGGAGGAAGAAGAAGAGGTAGAAGAATAAGAGGAAGAAGAGAAGGAGGAAGAAGAAGAAGAGGAGGAAGAAGAACAATAAGAAGAGGAAGACGATGAAGAAGATGAGGAAGAAGAATAAGAATAAGAAGAAGAAGAAGAAGAAGAAGAAGAAGAAGAAGAAGAAGGGGAAGTAGAAGATGAGGAAGAAAAAGATGAAGAAGAAAATGAGGAAAAAAGATGAAGAGGAAGAAGAGGAGGAGGAAGAAGAAGAAGAAGATAAGGAAGAAGAAGAGGAAGAAAAGGAAGAAGAAGAAGAGCTAGTCTGATATTACAACTTGTCTTCGAGGGTCTCTCTCGAGTCTCGTTAGCGCCATTGAGGCGTCTTCGTATCTTACCGCCCCCACTCTACACGCGCTTATAGACGAACACTCACGCATCCATAGTCATACACGTAAGAATACACACACACATACATATACTATATCTTACAGACATACACACCCTCTCTCTCTCGCGTACACATAGAGACTGTCTTTCAATATATCACCCATACACATCGACATTCCCGCGGAACATTTTAACGCACACACACAGGCATGCACATTAAGACGCAAGCACATATGACACATACATAAACTTTCACTCACCTCTCTTGTACACACTCACTCACACACACACTCCCTTTCTTTCTCTTTTTCTTACCCCCCACACGCACATACACCCTTTCTCTCTCTCTCTTACCCATACACAATCACTCTTTCTGTATATAGGATACACACACATGTACACGCGCACATACACTCTCTCACGCACATATAAATACTCTCTTTCTCTCACTCTCACACATATACAATCTGTCTCGCATAGACACTATCATGCACTTTCTTCTTTCTCACATACACACACAAAAACACACACACATACTCTCTCTCTCTGACACACACACACACACACACACACACACACACACACGCGCGCGCGCATACAGATAGAATAGACATATTCTCTTTTCCCCACGCGCATAACCTGTCTCGTATACACATGTGCATACACTCATCTTTAACAATGTTATTAGCCTCGGGAGAATCTTTCTACATTTCACACACGCCCATCATTAGATTGTCGTGTTGTTAAAATGCGTACCATCAAAAAAAAAAAAAAAATAATAATAATAAAATAACTAAATAAAATGCTCAAATCTTATCATGGCAGACAGTCTTCTGGGTCTCTCGAAACAAAATCCAGATGCTTCTTCTTCGACCAAAATAGATATTTCGAATTTCTACGATGTTGAAAGTACACATTTTCGCCGCCGTTGAATTTGAAATTTCTGACTCCAGATTTGCGCGGCCATATTGATAGAATCATATCAAAAATGTTTTCTGTCCATATTTCTGAGATGAGGTATTATGTACACTATTTACATTATTCGGACTATTGTCCTCATCTTTGTCGCCATCTTTATCACAAAGTTTCGGCCTTTCAGTATCTGTCTATATTTCTGAGATGAGGTATTATGTACACTATTTACATTATTCGGACTATTGTCTTCATCTTTGTCGTCATATTTATTACAACGTTTCGGCCTTTCAGTATCTGTCTATATTTCTGAGATGAGGTATTATATACATTATTTACATTATTC